AGAAAATGTTACTCCAATTGCTACTAAACGAACAACAGTTAGTACTGGAGGAAGACGTGATGAATATGATGATCGTCCTGTAACAGGTATGCTGTTTTTTAAATCTCATATTTGGGCAAGTCTGTTCTAATTTCTTCTTTATTTTAGCTGCGGCTTTTGGGCGTTTATACGGCGTATTAGATTTGCATCGAGATTCATTGGCAAATGCCATGTCCGTTAGATTTCAAGAAATTAATAAAAAGATTGATAAATTATGCAAATCAACATCAATAGTAAGTAATTTATGAGTTTCTTGTATCACCCGTCTTACTTTTCTTTTCGTTTTTGTATTTCCAGAAGAATCGCGAATTAGAGCCGTATTTAGAACAAAATGCGAATGCTGCTTGGCCAGCAGAGATGGTAATTTACGGCTTTATTATTACTTCTGTGATTTTAAAAACGATCCTTTTTTCTTCGTTTATATTCAGATATATGAAGAAGAAAATTTATTGGAAATTTCCGCAACAAGCTATGGTGATTATGGTCGTCGTTTAATGCGAATTATGTTCAGTAAAGAAGAGTTGAAATTGTCTGTATTACCGCCAGCAAGATCACATTTATCAAAAAAGCCGTTGAACGAACGAAAATTTAGTTTTTTGAATGGTAAGCTAATGGTTTACTTGATCTTTGTAAAAATTCATCTACTTTGTTTTCCTTTTTCTCGAATCGTCATCATGTTCGAACGATGCTATTTAGAACATATCATGTTTGATTCGTTATTTCTTCGTATGCAAAAAAAACAACAGACGCTGAACCACTATCGGCGCCAAAATACAAGGCCGGTGGTTATTTTTTGAATAACTTTTGATAGAAATGTGATAGGGAACATAGACAGTCGACTACGTTGATCATCGTAGCAATGCTTATTTCCTTGCAAAAAGTAAAATCGATTCGGATGTGGAGTTTTATTGCAAATACCGTTTTTTGGCTATTACCAGTTACCATTAAACACGCTAGAACTCAGTCAAATCGCATCAAAACTCAAAGAAATTTCAGCAAATACTCAAAATAGGCCATAGATTGTGTCAGCTCAAAAAAGACCGGTTTGATGGGCAGATCAACTGAAGGTTTTCTAGAAACCTAGTTAAAAACTTCGAATGTTTAGTATTGGAATATAAGGCTTTTTCGACTTAATCCACAATCTATGATCTATTTTGAATGTTTTCTGAAAATTTCAAGTGATTTGGATGAAGATTGATTGAATTATAAGATTTTTCATTTTAAGTGGTAGTACCCTAAAAGCGGTATTTTCAATAAAATTTAACACCCAGAGATATTTTACTTTCCGCAACGAAATAAACATTACCACTGTGTTCAGAATACTCGATTACCTATGTATGCAGTGATTTTGAGATTACCAAAGTCAGAGCAAGTCCGGTTCAAGTACCTCGGCGAAAACGGAGGGCTCGCCTGAACCATGGCTGTTAAAGATGTCGCTTAAATCCAGTTTTGTAGAAGACACTTTGCAATGTCTATCAATGAAAAAAATCAATGGACTCACATTTTAATTTCTGAAAATCCGAACTGATTTCCCGGAGATCTCCTGAAAAACCGGTTTCGGAATTTTTTCAAAACTCGGTTTTGCTTATGGAAATATAGCCTCAGATGTCTTCTTTCGATTACTGAAAACCGCAAGTCTCTGACTTTATGTTATCAAAAGTTATTCAAAAAATAACCACTGGCCTTGTATTTTGGCGTCGAT